CTTGTGGGCTGCAGTACCAGGGCTGGCCAGCGGGGTGCTCTCAACAACCAGAGGTTCACTTCGGCAATTAGCCATCACCTGGGGCTGATTGCAGGTGGTGTATTTAAGGGATGGCCAGACCTGCAGTCTGTGCCTTGGTGTGTGTTTTTCCATGGGCCCCTGTATCTTGTAACCTGCATTCCTGTTCCTGCCTGACTTGTTGCCGACCCTGCCTGTTCCTGACCTCTGCTGACTTCTCCTGTTTGATCCCTGGCTTGTGACCCTGACCATTCTCTGCCTGACCCCCTGTACCTACCTGTCCGTTAGTTATCGACCCGGCCTGCCTGACTACGTTGTGCTCTATATGTGTATGTACCTGTGTATCTATATCAGTTTAGGTTTGGGTTTGTTTCACCTTGTTGTATTATTTGTGTTAGCTTGGGGTTTGGTGCACTGCGTTTATGTTTGTATTGTTAGTCTTAATAAATTGTCTTATTTATACCATATCTGAGGCCTGCGTTTCCCTGTGTCAGTCCACACACTTCCGGTCACACCCGCATCTCTGACAATTACTTTGCTTCTCATCTGTTCTTGAATTTCTTTAGATCGTGGCATGATGTGTTGCTGTTTGAGATCTTTAAGTGTGCTTCACTTTGTCCGAAAGCTTCTATTTCGGATTGATTTATTTATTTTTTCCCCTTAATAAATGAAATCATCATGTAACCCCTTCACGCCGGCGCCTCCTGGTCCTTTAAGGTGTTTCTGACGGGAGGTGGGGTGGGGTTTAGGGTCATGTGACCTCTGTGATTGGCTGTCACGGCAGTCACATGATCGGGATCGGGACCTTTCCGTGGGACACATGCTGGGAGCAAATGGAATGCAAATATGCGGACGCTCTGCGTCAAGGCACAGCCACCGAGAGGCCGCATATTTGCGTACTGAAGAGGTTAAAAACTGCATCTACTTGGGCTTTCTTTAAATTTGTTTGATATGAATCATTTAAGTGTGACAAATATGAAAAAAAAAAAAAACAGGAAATGGGCAAATACTTTTTCACAGCACTCTATTTATATACATATATGTTATATATTTTTAGTTTTTTAGATATATATATACACACACAGTAAAGGAAATAAGTATTTGCCCCCTGCTGATTTTGAATGTTTGCCCACTCACAAAGAAATGATCAGTCTAAAAATCGAAAGGTAGGTGTATTGTAACACTGAGCAACAAAAAAATTCAAAAGAAATGCATGTCTAACAAATGATGCACTGATTTGCATGTTGTAATGCCTATGAAATGTGTTGGCCTTGGACCCTTTGTTTCTTTGGTAATTTTTACAATAAAGCATTGTTGTCAATGCCAGGGGCATGAAAAGTGATTGATGTCATTTCTTTAGCCAAAGGAACAGTCACAAGATATTCTGCTGAGAGCAAGATAAAACTTTGTTTATGGAATGAACCGTGTTTATGACCTCAAGTAACCTCACATTAGGAGATAAAAACCTGTTTAAGGACATCTAAGTTAGAAATCCTTAAGTCTGGGGGAGATGAAAAGAGGTTTTGGGGTAGATAAGAAGCAAAAGTGTGACTTTTCAGATAACGAATATGGTGGTGGACTGTTATCCTCGCGGAACCCTTCTGTTAGCTCCTCCTGTGGTGGGTGTGGCGCCACCCACTATTGGACCGCTTCCAGAAAAAGGGTTTATAAGGCGAAGGTCTGGGCAAGACCAGTGGAAGCTCCCCTAGTGGCCAGAGGTTGCTCTGACGCTGGGATTTTTACCAAGGCTATATGGGCTCATCAACTGGCGAAGGCCCAGGAGGACAATAAGAGGGCTTTTGATAAGAGGAGAAGGGGAGGTTTAAGCTTGCAACCGGGGGACCAGGTCTGGTTAGCCACAACAAATCTTAAACTGTCCTGTCCATCAAAGAAGCTGGCACCTAAGTTCCTGGGTCCGTTTTGGGTAAAACGTAAAGTCAATGAGGTGGCATACGAACTCACGCTCCCCGAATCTTTTAGGATTCATCGGTCTTCCATGTAACACTTTTGAAGCCGGCGACACCAGACCCCTTCCGGATCGGATGTCTAAACCTCCAGAGGCGATAAACATCGACAGAGAGGAGGAGTTTGAGGTGGAGGCAATCCTAGATTGTAGGAAGAGGAGAGGCCAAACTCAGTTCCTGGTTAAGTGGAAAGGTTATGGGGCTGAGGAAAATTTGTGGGAGCCGGCCCAAAATGTTCACGCCCCAAGACTTGTTCGGGAATTTTTTCGGAACCAGCCGTCTTAAAGTGGTCGGTTGGGCATCCTGAGGCTGCCCGTGGGGGGGGGCCATGTCAGGGACCGTGGGTCTCGCCGCGGCGCACGGGTCTGCGCATGCGCGGATTGCCTAGGTGCATCAATGTGCGGGCATTGGGATCTGGGCGTTTGCGGCGGCAATTGCGGCGCGCGCATGCGCACGCGGGCGCACGCCTGGCACCAATGATGGTGCAGGGCGCACTATTCAAACTGGCCAGGCGGTGTTCACATTGCTGCAAGGTCTAGTTCCTGTTCCTGTGTTTCTGTAGTATGTTCCTGTTGCCGATCCTGCTTGTCCTGAATTGTGTTGACCTTCTCCTGCTCTGACCCCCGGGTCGTCCCTGACTACTCTTCTGCCTGTTGTTTTGTTATTATTGGACCTCCCGTTGCTGAACCTTGGCTCGTGACCCGGCTACTCTGTCTTCTGCTCTGTACCTACCTGCCTCCACTGTTGCCGACCCCGCTAGTCTGACTACGCTCACTTCCGACTGTCATCCATCCATCCAACTAGAGACCTGGACTTGTCAGCCTCTTCACTTCAGGCCCACCCCTGGCACATACCCTCAGTGGGGACCCCTCTACCACAGTTGGGTGCACTCAGTGGTTGCAACCTGGTTTCAGTCTTGCACCAAGTCCATCCCCACCATCAGGGGCTCTGGGGAAAAGGCAGACTGGGACTTAGACTCCGCGACCTGGGAGCTCCCGTTCTGTGGATCGCTAGAGATCCCGCTGGGCGGTGTCTGACAAAAATTTAGGCTAAAATGTATTCTGCTACATGTCTTTACATAAAAAAAAGAAAGTTATAGCGTCTACAAACTAGGATATATATATATATATACACAATTGACACTCCACAAGGTGAGATCTTGCATGGTGATTGCACCAACTGTTGTCACCTTCTCACCAAAAGCTGCTTGGCAATAGTTTTGTAGCCCAGTCCAGCCTTGTGTAGGTCTACAATCTTGTCCCTGACATCCTTGGACAGCTCTTTGGTCTTTGCCATAGTAGAGAGTTTGGAATCTGATTGATTGCTCCTGTGGACAGGTGTCTTTTATACAGGTAACAAAATGAGATTAGCAGCACTCCCTTTAAGAGACTGCTTCTAATCTCAAAGAATAAGAGAGGGTAGAGGTTCATAAAATTGCTGTATCACCCAATATATGGTTTCTGCCCAGTAACCAAAAAACATGCATACAAAAAGGGGGGAATTGTGAAAAGAGATTCACAGAAAAGTGGTTACATCATGGACAAGCTAAGTGTGTAGAATTACGAAGTAGCAGCACCACCTTGCGGGAGGTTTAGTGGCTAACATTTGATCCCTCTTAATGATTTAAGAAAGTAGGAAATTTCTCCTCCCTCTCGGTGTGCCCAGGTTTCTACTCTTTTAATTGAGTTATATGACCAGCTGTCTTGCTAAGTAATTACCTCCTTTTCCCATTGAGAATGATTGCCAGCAGTTAATTTGCATATAAGGGCGGTATTAAGCCCAGTATAAATAGGAAGTTGAAAGACAGAGGTCTCATTGGTCCTGACGAAGCCGAGTGAGATACGCTCATCGGCGAAACACGTTGACGTCATACGTCAGATATGTCACCTCCGGTCATACGCATTGGCGCCATACACGCTGACCAGCAGGGAAGCGGCCATATTTGGGAGCCACGAGCTGTGCAAGGCTGCACAGGCACCAAAGGGAGAACGGAGCCCGCCAGTTACAGTCCCTATGGTGGCTGCTGCCCCCGGGACTATGCCTGGTAATCCAGATGAAGGAAATTCTCAGAAAGTATCACCTATGGCTCGGGTGGTGAGTGAACTGTCACACAGCTAGACGAAAAGGCGTTTTTTTGCCACTTTCAATTTTTCACCCACATTGCCTTGATTGGGTTATGGGTAATCTTGCTAATTCTATGTGCTGCCTGTTATCAGCCATTATTGCATAGCATTATGTAGTATATTATACCGGATGGTACAATTGTTTGACACACGCCCCCTACTGGTGGTGTAACCCATGTGTTGGTGCTGCAAATGTACTAGACCGGTTTCTGTCATTACATAAACAGCACATTAACCACTTCCTGTCCGGACACTTTTACCCCCTTCCTGACCAGGGCAATTTTCAGCTTTCAGCGCTATCACACTTTGAATGACAATTGCGCGGGTCATGCAACACTGTACCCAAATGAATTTTTTACCATTTTTTTGAGACAGATAAAGCTTTATTTTGGTGGTATTTATTCACTGCTGGGATTTTTATTTTTTTTGCTATGTAAATGAAAAAGTCCAAAAATTTTGAAAAAAAGTGTTTTTTTAATAAAAATTTTGCAAATAAATAATATTTCATCATAAATCTTGGCCAAAATTTATTCTGTTATCTTTTTAGTAAAAAAAAAAAAAATCCAAATTAGTTTATAACCAAAAATTATAATTTTTAAACATTTTTTTTTTACATTTTTATTTTATTTTTTTATATTATTTTTTATTTTTATTTATTTTTTTACATACTGTCACCCTAGCAGTACAGTGTCACCATGGTGACACTGTACTACTTGTGGGGGGTGATGAAGATTTTTTTTTTTTTTACACACACTGATTTCTTTTACACCCATAAAGGCTGTAAAAGCAATCATTTCTCTTTCTCTCTGTCTGTATTCTTGCACTCATTGAGAAGTACTGAGTGAGCTGTGATTGGTCACAGCTTGTCACATGGTACAAGGCTGTTGTGAATAGCCTTGTACCATGTGACCTCTGTGATCATTCACAGATTTCACACATAGTAAGCAATGATGTCACAAGTGACATCTTGCTTACTACTTTGCATGTGATCACTGATTGGCCAATCAGTGATCACATGATCGGGACCTCGTACAGAGGTCCCGTCCGACGATCGGTGTTTCACTGTGTCTGGAGGTCACAGCGGGCACCGGATCGCGGTGCTTCACGCTCCCAGGGAGCGCGCACAAGCAGGGTGCGGGGAGGCCGTTTATAAACACCCACCCGACCCTGCACTGCCACCGTCCGGCCGTTTATATGCAACGGCCGGTCGGGAAGTGGTTAAGAATAAGACCGGTCTTGATGTTGTTTTTATGTGATTTTAGGTCTTTTTGTACTATCTCATACTGAGGTGATGGTGAACCAGGGTATTTACCCTATTGTCTAGAATTATTGTGTGTTTAACGCATACTTTTTGGGAACTATCCTGAGTATCGCATTCTGTCCATGATGTTACCACTTTTCTGTGAATCTCTTTTCACAATCTCAGCTTGTTACCTGTATGAAAGACACCTGGTAGCCAGAAATCCTGCTGAATGATAGGGGATCAAATACTTATTTCCTCCATGAACATGCAAATCAGTCATCATTTGTTAGACATGCATTTCTGCTGAATTGTTTTGTTGCTATTCTGTCTCTTAGTGTTACAATACACCTACTATTCGGTTTTTAGACTGATCATTTCTTTGTGAGTGGGCAAACATTCAAAATCAGCAGGGGAGCAAATACTTATTTCCTTCACTGTATATAGTTTTTTTTTTTTTTTACCTCTTTTTTATTTTTCATGCCTTTTTAATCTAGTTGTTAATCTTGGTTGTTTTACATACTGTATATTATTGTTGCATTTTATGCATTGTTTATTATTTACCTATGCATTTGTGTGTTTGCCCTAAAGAAAAGGGGTTCCCTTAGCCCCTGAAACGCATCAGTTGCTGGTTTCCCATTGCTTGTGATTTCACTGCCAAGAATTAAAGATGCATGGAGTTCTGAACTAACCGTTTTGTTCTTGGTTTCTTCTATTCACCTCAGCATGTTTATAACAACAGGTTCCCTTTAATCGCTAGCCTACAAGGCACTTATACCCCCTTCCTGCCCAGGCCAATTTCCAGCCTTCAGTGATGTTGCACTTTGAATGACAATTGCGCGGTCATGCAACACTGTACCCATATGAAATTTTTATCATTTTTTTGTGGCAGAGCTTTATTTTGGTGGTATTTAATCACCTTGGGTTTTTTTTATTTTTTCTTCAACCAAAAACCACTGAAAATTTTGAAAAAAACAAAACAAAACATTTTTTCTTAGTTTTTGTTATAACATTTTGTAAATAAGTAATTTTTCTCCTTCACTGATGTGCGCTAATGAGGCTGCAGTGATGGGCACTGATAGGTTGCACTGATGAGGAGGCACTGGTAGGTGGCACTGATGGGCATTGACAGGCATCACTGATGGGCACTGAAAGGCAGCACTCATATATGGCACTGTTAGGCGGCAGTGACTGGCACTGATAGGTGGCACTGATTGGCAGCACTCATAGTTGGCACTGACTGACATTGATAGGTGGCACTGATGGGTGACACTGAAAGGCAGCTCAGCTCATCAGGGCACACTGATCATCAGTGCCCTGATGATCAGTGTACATGTCCCCTCTGAGGGATGCTGATTACCGGCTCTCCTCTGTCAGTGTGACAGCTCGAGAGGAGAGAAATGCAGATAACCGGCATTTCCCTATTGACATGCAATCAGCTGTGATTGGATACAGCTGATCACATGACTGAGCCGACATCTTTGGCTCTTTCCGTTAATCGGTGATCCGCTGTGTCCGAGGGACAAAGCGCACCGCTGATCGCGGTGCTGCGCTCCCGGAGCTGCGCATGCGCGGTTAGAATGGGAGGACGTCATATGACATCCTCCCAGAACGAGAGAACCGCCTTGCTCCCGTCATTTGTACTATATGGCGGGCGGGAGGCGATTAATGGGACATCAGGGGTCTGTGTTCATTTCACAGCCAAAAATATTTTCGGCAACAAAATTAACACTATTTCGGTTGCGTAAAATACGACTAAAACTAAAAAACTAGATCTAAAAATGGCATTTTAGTCAAAAGACTATAGCTAAGACTAAATCGAAATTTGACATCAAAATGAACGCTGTCGGGGGTCTGTTAGACCCCTGATGTTTCCCTTGCACTCTACGGAAGCTATTTGGACATTGGAAAATTACATCAGAAACCGAAAGTGATAATACATGTTGCTTCCAGTATTTACTAGTTAGCGGAGATCAGTGAATGGATAGATGGCAGAGGGGGGGGGGGGGGGGGGGGGAGAGGGGGTATGTCACACATAAAACTGTTAATGTAGAACTGTGGATATTAATTTACATATTTTTTAATAAGCAGTAAAAATATTTTTAAAAGACACGGTCGGGGGGCACTGTGTCCTGCATGGGAGGAGTGACTGTGTCCCTTTAACCACTTCCAGTCCGGACACTTTTACCCCCTTCCTGACCAGGGCAATTTTCAGCTTTTAGCGCTATCACACTTTGAATGACAAATTGCGCGGTCATGCAACACTGTACCCAAATGAATTTTTTACCATTTTTTTGAGACCGATAAAGTTTTATTTTGGTGGTATTTATTCACCGCTGGGATTTGTATTTTTTTTGCTATGTAAATGAAATGTCCAAAAATTTTGAAAAAAAAAAGTGTTTTTTTTTTTATAACATTTTGCAAATAAATAATATTTCATCATAAATCTTTGCCAAAATTTATTCCGTTATCTTTTTAGTAAAAAAAAAAAAAAATCCAAATTAGTTTATAAGCAAAAATTATCATTTTTAAACATTTTTTTTACATTTTTATTTTATTTTTTTATATTTATTATTATTATTTTTTTTTTTTTTTACATGCTGTCACCCTAGCAGTACAGTGTCACCATGGTGACACTGTACTACTTGTGGGGGGTGATGAAGATTTTTTTTTTAATTTTTTTTTACACTGATTGCTTTTACACCCATATAGGATGTAAAAGCAATCATTTCTCTTTCTCTCTGTGTGCATTCTTGCACTCATTGAGAAATACTGAGTGAGCTGTGATTGGTCACAGCTTGTCACATGGTACAAGGCTGTTGTGAATAGCCCTGTACCATGTGACCTCTGTGATCATTCACAGATTTCACACATAGTAAGCAATGATGTCACAAGTGACATCTTGCTTACTACTTTGCATGTGATCACTGATTGGCCAATCAGTGATCACATGATCGGGACCTCGTGCAGAGGTCCCGTCCGACGATCGGTGTTTCACTGTGTCCGGAGGACACAGCGGGCACCGGATCGCGGGTGCTGCGTGCTCCCAGGGAGCGCGCACAAGCAGGGTGCGGGGAGGCCGTTTATAGACGGCCACCGACCCTGCAGTGCCACCGTCCGGCCGTTTATATGCAACGGCCGGACGGGAGGTGGTTAAAGCAAGACACCCAACCCCCGTGCCTTTCTAGCTGCCAGCATCATGGAGAGACTCATCCTCTGAGAAAAATTACTTTCACTTTCATTTGCTCTCAGTAGATCGCTTTGGTCTTCCCTTCTAGCAGTGAGTTTGCAGCCTGCCAGCCTTGTAGTCTCTAGTGTAAACACAGAGTAAAGGACACGGGGAGAGAGCAGAGTGCTGAGACCAGACTTAAACAAACCAAGTGCATCCAGTGAGGATGAACATCTCCATAATACCTACAACAACAGAGATTTGGGAAAGATAGTTTGAAAGCTTATACACTGCTTGTAAAGAATTTCCTCGGGGTGATCCCAGTTTCCTCCCACACATGCTGGTGGGGTTCGTTGGCTCTGTCTAAATTGATCCTAGTGTGTGTTCGTTTGTTTGTGAGTTAGGGACCTTAGATTGTTAGCTTCTTGGGAGAAGGGACAGATGTGGTTGCACAGTGTTTAAAGCCCTGTATAAATTGTTGCTGCTATATCAATACCTGTAATCAATAAAGAATAATAATAGTTATTATTATTATTATTAAGAAATGTCCAGAGCCTGGCCGATTTTAGGATAAATAATTTCTTCATCCAAAAAAAAAAACTGGACTATCCTGCTGGGTCCCCCAATTTTCAGGAAACTGCAGGTGACGGGAGTCTTCCTTTTATACATACAAATATTTACTAAAGAGGAAGCCACATGTAAATCATGTGGAAAAAATATGCAGAATGTTTATGCAGAAAACAGCTGTCACTTGTATTTGCATGTTTTGTGTTTTTCCCAAAGAGTATGTTTCTTGTTTTCGTATTTTCCACATGCTGCATGTCACAGCGACTGACTATAACAATACATAGCAAACAGTCAGAAGAGTAAGGAGGGCCCAAGTTTCTGATTGTTGTTGTTCCTGTCGGATTAAAGAACATAAAGCCTGGGTGTGGGCATTATTCAGTTTCAGTTGTGTGGGAAGTGTGTGGGATTTAGGGAATGCAAATGCATAAAAAGTCAGAAAAGGAAAACTGATCGTAATAATGATTGTAGCTGGAAAGGAACTGAACAACAGATGCATGTTTGAGCTCTAAAGCCAAACTCCAGGCACCTTTTTTTATTTTCAAATGATAACGTCCCCCGGCCAGATAAAAACATATAAAAGAGAAGCTCAATCTGCAATACTTGCCTTCTATCTGAAGATTTCTTCTGCTATACTTCTTTTTGGCCACAAGATGTCCTCAGTCTTCCGTATTTGAATGACACTCAGTGTTCTTAGACCCAGAAGACTGAGGACATACCATCAGGACTGATCCACGTCATGGATTGCTTCTGGTGTGTGCTGGGAGATGCTGAGGTGCCCATCTCAGCGCATCACACTCTTACTTTTTTTTTTTCACATCACTTTATTGACATTTCAATACAGTTCTGTTCGCCGCAGTGCAATGGTTTGAGTTACAATCTGCTTCCATGAAACAAACAAAACCTACTACATGCATGCACTGCATTGCTGTGGTGAACAGACTCCATATGGGAAACAAGGCATTTAGCCTTTTCTATGCATTGGGGCTGTGCTGGAGATGGCTTCCAGCATAGCCCCAACACATCTGGTGTGAAAGAGCCCTAATGAAAGGTGCCATGATCGCTCCCCGTAAGGAGGGGGTCTTAACAAAGCCCTTCATTATAGGGTATTCATGAGGCGAGTGCTGCTGATGTCATTATGTAAATCTATGCTGCTCTCCGTGTATCTGAGGATCCTGAACTTCTGGAGAAGACTGAGCACAAAATGTGACCGACCAAAAAAATTTAGAAAAAGGATCGTGTGCTTGTATATGTGTATAACTTTATATATATATATATATATGTGTGTGTGTGTGTGTGTGTGTGTGTGTGTGTGTATATATATATATATATATATATATATATATATATATATTGTGGGAACTCGCTTCAACGTGGTAGAGCTTTGAAACGAAAACAGCTACTCGCTTTCTTTTTCAGGGCCTTTTTAGCCCACTTTTATTTAAATGAAAGGTCAAACATAATGCTTCCCACGCAGGGGTATCCACCATCACACAAAGATTCAGCCTCCTGGCTTTACACACAGCTTGATGTCTGTCTCCTGCAGACTTCTTCAAGAATTATGGCCACTAGCACACAGCTAGTCTCTAACAGCCCCTTGCTGCTTTTGGCTTCCACCTCTCCTAGGCGAAGCCCACCTGACTCCTAGCTGCCGGGGTGGAGCCCAGAACCCTGGTCCTGACCCTACAAAAGAGCCGTGCACACCTGTGCAATCAGTCTCCTGGCCATTCCCAAAACCTGGTCCCAGGATTGGAGATTTCATCCCTCCCAAATCGCTTCGAAATCTCCAGGCTCCAGATCCCAAAACAGACCTTACAAACACAGGAGGAAAGTGAAAAGCCACTTTCCTCCATATCAAACACTTACCCTGGAGCCCCTCAACCTGCTTTGTTGAGAATCCAGGGTTACAGATCGCCACACTGTCACATATCCCCCCCCTTTGTTTTGATCCTGTAGGGGGCAGAACACACAACTTATATCTTCTGGCACCTCTGTGTCAGCTCTCACTTACAGGGGTCCAATCTGGTCTGACCTTACCTTTCCTAAAGGGGAACTCTACCCAATGACTCCTTTGGTGTCTCTCCCCAAGCCTCATTGTCACTCTGCTATGGGCTCTACTCAGATCTTCCCTATTCTTTTTCCGAGTGCATTTCCATAACCACTTTCTCTCCTGAGATCTTAACGGGGTCCCCCTGGCTTTTCTATTGACCTTTCTGCCCCTTTGCTTCAGGTTCCAAGGTTTCCTAATACCTCTCTCAGTATTACTGTCCCAAGGCTGTAGGGGAACTATTTCTACTGTATTTGTACCAGGACCACCCCCCTGATTTCTTGTACCTTTAGCTATCCAACCTGCATGACTCATTACTACAGTATTCAGTTTACCATGAACAGTTATATTCCAGTCAATATTACACCTTTCAATACATTTTCCAGCATTTGTTAGGACAGTGTCTGCAGAGGGCACACACATCAAAGGGCAGCCATCACCCACGTGAACCTCACAAAATGCCACTTCACCTGGTGTCATGCACTCTGCAGGTGGCTGTCCCACCATTTTAACTTTTCCTACACCAGTTGGATCTGTATCCAAACCTAGTACAGATGAGCTCTCTTTTGATCTATTTTGCCAGTTTTCACATAACATTTCTCCC